GTGCAGTCCTGCTCCTCCTGTAGCGGTTTCGTTTTTATCCCTGTCGTCGTTGGTGATGGTGGGTCGGTGCGTTTGTCGTTGCGTTTTGTCTTGGATTCCATCGCTTTGGCAGACGGTGGGGGCCTTTATGTCATTTGTATATGTTTCCCGAATGGTTTTCCTAATAAATTGGACAACTCTATTCTTCCATATGAATAGATGAAGCTCTTGCTAGTTTCTGGTAAAAACACCGATGGTTGAATACAAATGATCAAAGAATTGAAGAATCTGAAAAGACAAAACAACCAAACCCGCACTAAAAGGACTAGTGGGTTCGAATGGAGGATAAGCTTTGCTCAGCCCCACGAGCCTAGGAATGAATGGACTCAATCGGGGTCAAAGGTGATAGGGCTTCCAGCAAGTATCTAGTGAGCTACCACGTCTTTAATTCGGACAACTGTGACTTCAGTGGAGAGTTCTTTATGGTTGAAGATCCTCTTATTCTGCTCTAACCAAATTTCCCAGCAAACAAGCATCACAAGAAACCTCGCCACTTTCCAAACCGTTGCATCAACATGTTGATGTAACAACTACATCCAACCAATAAAATTGCAATAAGGCCATCACCAACGCTCCATTTTGGACTACCACCCCACACACCACGTTAGCTCAGACGCTCTACCTCAACCCCATCTATTGTGAGTGAAACGGGGTCCTTTAGAGAAAGTGCTTTCTCACTAACAAAAGCTAATCGTAGAGGGTAAAAGGAAGAGTAGATTAGCTCACGCAAGGGAAGACCACTTAGGGAGAGAGAGGGGGGCGGATGTGGAAAAGTTGAAGTGATGGGTCCTAGTGGATGTTGTCTGGGTGGAAAAGATGGTGGTCTCCAATAGATACTTCATGAAATGTTACTTATGTGGAAGCATGGGGCATCACCATATAGTTTCCCCCATTGCTCTTTCCTTAAGGGTAGCACCTATCGGCCTCCGAAGATGGCAATCTTGCAATAGAAGAAATAGCACCCCAAACATCCTTTGATCACGGGCACTCGGTAAGAATGTACCTAGTCATTTCAAGGTTCCATAAGCACAAGGGGCAGAAGTAGTAATTTTGCAATCCCCGCTGAAAAAGGAGATTTGTAATTAGAATTCTGCATTGGGTGGACATTCACATAAGGAGCTTGCACTTCATAGGCATCCATCTATTCAGAATTGACATCGACAATGGAATTCATGTCATCTCCAATACTACAAAATTCCATGGATGTTTGATTGTACACAAACTATGTAGGATTCTATGCTACTTCTTGAGCTTGCGTTGATTTTCCCTTGAAGAGGAAAGGGTGATGCAGCAAAGTAGATATAAGTATTTCCCTCAGTTAAGAACCAATGTATAAATCCACTAGGAGGAACACACAAGTCCCTAATAGATGCACCTGCACAAACTAAAAAACACTTGCACACAACGCAAAAAAGGGGTTGCCAATCCCTTCACGGTCACTAACAAGACTGAGATCTGATAGAGATAGGTATAAAAGATAAGTAAAAGTGCAAAATAAAGTAAAGGTAAATAAATTGCAGCAAGGTATTTTTGGGTTTTTGGTTTCATAGGTCTGAAAATAATATGATAGGAAATAGACTCGGGAGCCATAGGATTCACTAGAGGCTTCTCTCTTGAAAGAAACATACGATGGGTAAACAAATTACTATTGAGCAATTGATAGAAAAGCACATAGTTATGACGATATCCAAGGCAATGATCACGAATATATGCATCACGTCTGTGACAAGTAGACCAACTCCTGCCTGCATCTACTACTATTACTTCACACGTTGACCGCTATCCAGCATGCATCTAGTGTATTAAGTTAACAAGAACGGAGTAACGCCTTAAGAAAGATGACATGATGTAGAAGGATAGATCCAAGCAATATGGTAAAAAAACATCTTTTTATCCTTAATGGTAACAATACAAATACATGTCTTGCTATCCCTTCTGTCACTAGGTGAGGACACCGCAAGATTGAACCTATCACAAAGCACCTCTTCCATTGCAAGCAAGATCAATCTAGTTGGCCAAACCAAATCAATAGATTGGAGATAAATACAAAGCTATCTTAATCATGCATAAAAGAGTTTAGAGAAAACTCAAATAATATTCATAGATGATCTGATCATAAAACCACAATTCATTGGATCTCAACAAATGCACCGCAAAAGAAGATAACATCGAATAGATCTCCAAGAACATCGAGGAGAACATTATATTGAAGATCAAAGAGAGAGAAGAAGCCATCTTGCTACTAGCTATGGACCCGTCGGTCTGTGGTAAACTACTCCCACATCATCAGAAGGGCAGCAAGGTTGGTGTAGAGGCCCTCCGTGATCGAATCCCCCTCCGGCAGAGTGTCAGAAAAGGCCCCAAGATGGGATCTCACATGAACAGAAGCTTGCAGCGGCGGAAAAGTATTTTTGGTGTGCCCTCTGGTATACGGGGAATATTTGGGTATTAATGGAGCTGGAATTAGGGTTAGGAGAGTCCCGAGGGGCCCACAAGCCTGGGGGCGCCCCCCCCAGGGCGTGCCTACAGGCCTTGTGGCTCTTCTGGCCTCCTCCTGAAGCTTCCTAGGTGTCTTCTTGTCCAAGAAAAATCATCAAAAAGTTTCGTTCTGTTTGGACTCCGTTTGTTATTGATTTTTTGTAGAAGAAAAAAACAAGGAAAAACAATAACTGGCACTTGGCACTAGGTTAATAATTTAGTCCCAAAAATGATATAAAATAGCACCATAATGCATATAAAACATCCAAGATGGATAATATAATAGCATGGAACAATAAAATACTATAGATACATTGGAGACGTATCATTCTACAAGAGGTTGAAGTGGATGAAAAATTTCCCATGGGTTCTAATGTAAAAGAATATTGAGAGAAAAAACTATGGATTATTATCCTATGAATCAAACAACCCACATAGGAAAATTTTCGAAGGATCGTAATAATCTGAAACCCCTTTAAAAATCATTTGAGTCAAAGAAAAGCCCTGCATGTCAGGTGAGTATCAAGTGTTTTTAGTAGGGGAGGGAACATAAATAGGTAAACTTACAGTTTAACATGGTGTCAACTTCATTGGCCACTTCATGGCA